GGACTAAATACATATACATTTCACGCGAAATTTACAACATTTACAGCGAAATATTAAAACCCTACAATCTTAAACCAATTCGTGTAATTAATGATTAGATAACTGAAAGACTATTATACACGTTCATTTCGCACCATCAACCAAGCACGCGTATAGAAATGTATTGGACCAATTGGTTAATTTATTTTACTTCAGTTTACATCGTTCAAATAGACAAGGATAATATAGACAAATGGATATAAAGAGGCACACGAACATAACCAATGTACATGGATTAAAGGTCATGATTAGTTATGTATGAATACATATAGTATAACAAATAAAATTACAATAATCCATAAAAGTCATATAAGTATCAGTAACGGGTAGTGAAGACTGTTGGATTTTATCAAAATGATGATGGAAGCACTGAAGGACCATTTTGTCCTAAAATGGAACTCCTCAGGACTGCTCATATACGACCCTGAACGCAGGAGTCAAACCCAGGATCTTCGGTCTCCCGTGTGAACGCTTAACCTCAAAACCACTAAACTGTCATCCAATTGTGCTAATGTCTAACTCTAATCAATCCGCAATAATATGTGACAAACTTTCATTGTATTCGGTGCGTAACAGCTTCACATTCGACCTCAATAGAACTCTATATTGAATCGCTACAAATTATAAATAGTAATGTCTGCTAATTAATTAAGCTGTAAGATACTTTTGACATCACTCATAATCTAGTTCCATTGGTTTTCATGTAATTTTTCAGCGCAATAACACACGTGTAAAATATATTAAGTCCATTGTTACAACCAACCATCTTAATTATCCTACTTATTAACATCATAAACACACGAAATTGATATGATAGGCCAGTCAGAAGTAGCCAACAGAGGTCATTCGATGATAATCAGAAATGACCTGAAAGACAAATGCATATCATTGGCTGAGAAATGGATTCATTTTCTATATATTGTTCAGTAGCCCAATAGACTTTCTTTTCCACTCTCGTCTTCGCTCTTGCGCAATCGGTTTGGGGGTTAGCGCGTGACACGTTGTTTATCGGTATTAGATTTCGGACAGCGTCCATCACATGAGAATTGTTAGAATTACTTTGGTAACGAAAATTAATGATGCACATAGACATCAATGTTGTGTTATTACACTGGAAATCCTATAAATACTTCGTTAATATCATATTTGACAACCTTGAGGGACTTAATTTATCAGTAATACAGTAATCTTAGAATACACTCTCAAACCATTAGTTTACCTTAAAAGACTAGATAAATTACACCTAAACATTAAGTTATTAGTTCCAAAATTACATAATAAGATCTTTTGGAAGATACTTTTATAATACGAGACGAAATCGCTTAAAACTTTTAAAGCCATATGCATAGCCCGTTGAACACTTCGATATTTCATATTATTGTAATAAATTATCTACTTAGGGGATATTAAAATTCAACTCAGTACCATTCGCTTCACCCATTGCACAAGCGAATGGCTATCAGGACTCAGTAGCTAAGTGGATAACGCGATGGCGTTTGAAGCGAGCGGTACTGGGCTCGATTCCCAGAGTGAACATGAACTCTGAGATGCAGGTACATCCGGCTGACGAGTCCCAAATAGGACGAAACGCGCGTCCTAGATTCCACTGCTAGCCACTATCCATCATTGCTTACAAAAATCTTTTGTAATATTCGTCTACAGGATATTATTATAGTAAGTAACTTGAAGATTTCTTGACCAAATTATCATTAGGAAGGGATTAAATTAGTATTTTAGTAATCATTAAAATATTATTATAGATGTCTGGTCAATGATAATTATTCTTGATATTCATGTGAATGTTTCATTCGAAGTGGAATTCTATCATTGTGACCTACTTTACTAGAAGAATGTACGCTTTATTAATTTAGTTTCATTCAATTATATGAACGAATTAAAAATAAGATATTTGATATTAATTAAATGTTGACAACTATCTTGTTTAAATTATGTTCACTTTTCATTTGGTTTGTATGAGTAGTATATATACTTCAAGATAATTTACTGTCCTCGAGACAAGCCATATATTTTAGTTTAATCAATTAAGAATAAAAAGAATATCCTACAGTAATATGTGACATTAGTTGGACTATATCCTCGACTGAATAGATTCGAAAAATAGTGGTCATTAAAATGTAACTTAATAGTTGAAAAATGTAGTACTTTCGATAGAATCTAAGGTTTTGAACTTTAGACTGTAAAGTTTCATGAGTTTTCAGCACTTTAAAATTCCAAATTCGAAATATACTAATTTTTCAGTATCACTTGATGTTCAAGGTTCTCAAGTCACTGTCAGAATGTGAATAAAACAATCTTGAAGCAAATAGTTCGTAGTAATTAAAACCAGTAAACCATGCTACTTACTAATGATCAGTAACACTATTCCATTATATATATATATATTGAGATTATGAATCAATGAATGTTGGACCACCACTGAAAACCTGAAAGGACTGAACAGCCGTTTCTTCTTAGTATCAGACTTCTCGACAGTGTTCATCCACTTTATTTCTAAACTATTTATGCTAAATCTACGTTCCATTAGTAAACTATCAATTTATTTGTCTTCCTATTATTTACTACAACAAAAACAGTAATTTATCCGACCATAAGCCACCAATTGATTTATTTGTTCTGATTTTTGTAACTTTATTTAACAAACAGTTGTTGATTAATTCTGAGATAAGTTTTACATAGTGAAACAGAGATATAAATAAAAGTTCATTTGGTATGCTATGAATAAATGTATTTAACTCTATTGAACTCAGTCACAGACTTTGTCCTAAATATCAAACTATTCAAGTCCGTAATATGTATCATTACAAATATATGAGGCAAAAAAAAACAATTACGTAATAGTTCATGTATTCAGCAACAATGACCTAATGTAACTACGTCACATATGATAATAACCAATGTATTAAATAAAAAAATTTAATATTATGTGTAAAAATGCATCACAAATGGAGCAATTTTAAAATCCGTTTCTGCATAAGAACATAATCAATGCTAATTTCATCTGAAATATTATCATAGTAATTACAGTATAATGATGGTTGAAAAATACCATGAAAAATTACAAATTCATGATTATCTCACTAATTTACAATCATATTCTAAGTTTATTGTTTATGAAGTGAAACACAACCATATGCAAACATGTGTAATAATTATCAAAATCAGTGAGAGATCTTGTGGAAATTATACAACTTTCATAAATAAAATTATTTTAGATCATCATTGAAGACCTGAAGACATCGGATAGCCATTTTGTCCTATTATAAGATTCTTCAGTAATGTTCATCAGTGACTCGGCATCCGAAAATCGAGTTAAGGGATTTAGGTCTCGAGCGTAAGTGCCTAACTTCTGGACCACTGGAGCCCTAATGAGAAGCCGTGATCAGTGGAGTTCAACCATATAAAGAGTAAGATAGTTGACAACTGCATGTAGTAGGAGATGATCACTCCATTTGGCAAGTCGACACAAGATAGACATTAACACTGTTAGATGTCAACTGAATGGTATAGAGACTAAGCGCTCGCGCACGAAACTGAAGACCCAAGGTTTGATTTCCGAATGCGAGGTCTTAAATGTGCACTCTTAAGGATTTCTATACTATTCCTTCCAGGTTTTCACTAGTAATCCATTCATGATATAAAGTCTGTGATAATGGTTTAAAATTTAAAAAATACAAACTTTCAATAACAGATTAATATCATAATTTACAGTTACTTTATGAAATGTTCTCTTTGTACCATGATAAATTTATATATTACTTATCACTTGGTTATTATAGGGTTTTTACCAAGATAATCGAAAGTTTGTAATAGAATAGCTGGACTGATCAACAAAACACAACACTGAGTTTTCGAAAAAATTAGCTCAGATAGTCTAGTTAATAATATTTATTCTAAAACTGTCCCTTAAGCCATACAACTTAGTGAAAAAGACCATGTCAAGGTGTATTAGATAATGAAAGAATATTATCAAATGTGTTCAATGTGATAATGACATAACGAAAAGAAGCCCTGCAAAGACAAGTAGTTGTAGCACAAATAAAATACATAAAGAATGTGGGCCTCCATTGGATTATTCTTAAATACGGAGGTTTATGGAGTAAAATCAATAAGATCATAATTTTATATAGGTTAACCACTGTTTTAAGAAGCTTTATATATAGAATGCATCAAACTCAATGTATGTTATATGGCTAGACTGCTTTATATGATCAGACATTAGAGCGTATTATTATAAACAACCGAGGTTGGTTGTTATATTGTACTTTAATCTTAAAACTTATTAAAATTTATAAGATTCATAATAAGTAATGGTAAAATCTTTGTTATATACTTATAATGAGCTGAACATACAAACAAGTATGAAATTTATAGATTTTATTATTTAATGAATTAGTTGATTAGTAGTATTGTGGTGTGTGCTACATATATTGACATAAATAGTATATGATGTTAGTCGTGAACAGAAGGTCTGGCAGCAGAGAGACAAAAGGATCGAACAGTAAAGGATGGAAACAGGATGCAACTTGTGTGAAAATACAAGAACAATGAAGTCTGAGTCATTTTGAGACAATTGGTGGACATTTTGCAAATCAAGCATTTACTTATGATTGTTAGATTTTATTAAGAAGTCCTGTAATTTTGTGTCAAATACATTCGATTGTTCACTTCAGTACTGCTTTGTGAGAACATGTCAACCGCCAAAATATTCCCTTGCCAATGTATTGTTCAGTGACTAAGCGTTTCAGTCACCAAAGTTTTTCTTAACATAAAACAGGAAATGAATAGGCAAGTTAATAAGAATTAAGAGTAATTCACTCTAATAAAGGTAATGATCAGTAAAATCTAAAAATCCAGGAAATTGCAAGAATAAGAAATTAAAATCTATTTGAATTCATTTATCAGTGAGTTTCCATTTGCTTTAATTTATTATTTATAAGATCTTATAATGAACAAACCTTTTCATCTGGTGATAGAGTTATATACAGACGTGGGAAGCATGTAGCGTCCTCTTGAGTTATCACAACACAAGGGCTTTGTAAACGTTTCACTTGATGAACCATCATATAACATCTTTTCTGATTAAAATCATTCGCAATAATCATTCCTGTAGGTTCAACATACTTTGAGGCATTTTCAACACCAATTCTCGATTGAACTGCTTCTGCATCAGAATGTAGCAATTCAACGAGTTGTGCAGATTTGGACCCAGGTGCAGCACATAAATCAAGGATTGTATGATGTGAGCGCACATCTAAAAGAAGCGGAGGTAGCATACTCACAGCCTCTTGACGACTGATGTTACCTATAGTAATTAAATATTAATTGGATGGTAATAATAAGTGAGATACAGTTGCAAATACAAGTAAGCCCTATTCATTACTGTGTATACAAATCCAATAAAAGAAATAAGTAATACCTTTTCACTGTTTGAAATAAAAACTGAGTCAATTTGAGACAATCAGTGGACATTTTTTACAAATTAAGCATTTACTTTATGATTGTTAGATTTTATTAAGAAGTCCTGTAATTTTGTGTTAAATACATTCGACTGTCCCTACCCATGTTCTGTTCACTACAGTATATGTTATTTGTGATTTATATAAGGAGGTAACTAGTTAAATAACTAATGGGGATCAAAAAACACTGAATACCCGTTTCTCTCTATTATAGGACTCCTTGGCCCTGTTAGTGGAAAAACCCATCTCCTTCGGACATCCTTATGACAACTTACACACTGTTCATAAATGGTCACCAGAACTCAGCAAATGACCCCTAGATATTAATCACAGTTTGGTGCATGACCAATATTATAATATGGAGAATTGACATAATGTAAAAATGTGAACCATTGGATGTCCATCCATTGGTCCATAAGCCTAAATTACCTAAGTTCAATCAATGGAAGAGTCGAAAATGAACAATGCTAAGAATTTCTGTACTATGTGAAAACAGCTGTCCAGTGCTTCCAAATCTCTAGTAGTTGTCTATGGTCAGCCACTTATTTTCATTGGGAGAGTTTGGGAGTTGATTATCTTTATCGAGAAGTAAAGGTTATCTCTTCTTTGAAAGAGAAGCAATGACAACTAGGCCAAATAAAACTCCATATTCGTTTAATAATTAAATTATTTTATGCAATATTCCAATTAGTAGAAAATTGTATTTCTGACGTTTCGTGACTTAATGTAATCCATTTCTTCAGAGTAAATATTTATATAAAGTCACGAAACGTCAGAAATATAATTTTATACTGATTGGAATATAACAAAATATATATTTATTTTTAATTTTCTACTCAATGTTCAATTTATTTAGAACTATCATATCCAACCATGGCATTGATACCTACAAATTCATATTCATTTAAACAGTTGAGATCATGAGTCAATTGAAGCTAGACCAACATGGAAAACCTCAAAGCACAGCGCAGCTGTTTCACACTATTATGGGACTCCTCAGCAGTGCGCATCCATGATACCGCCTCGCGGGATTCGAACCCGGGACCTATCAGTCTCGCGCGCGAGCGCCCAACCACTAGACCACTGAGCCGGTCGGCATCCAACGGTGTTAATGTCTTACTTCAAGTAATCCACAAAATTGAGCGACACATCCACCACTGTCATCAGTGAGTGACTACCTCACAAATGAACCACTTGAACCCCACTGGTCACTGCTTCTCACTAGAACTCCAGGATATATATCTTGGAACCAGTCACTAGTGAGCATACGTTGATAAGTATCAGAAGGGGTGCCAGACTGATATGTCCTGGGTTCGAATCCCGCGAGGCGGCGTCGTGGTTGCGCAATGCTGAGGAGTCCCACAATAAGACGAAACGGCCGTCCAGTGATTACAGGTTTTCCATGGTGGTCTAGCTTCAATTGACTCATGATCTCAACTGTTTAAATTACTACAATCTCCACAAAATCCCTTCTGATAATATTCATTTATTTGAAATGAACAATCTAATCCACTAAAAAACTAATTTGGGTATTGATTACATAGTTCATCGATAAAGAGTAAGTGACGGATGTTTACATATCTAGAATCATTCTTTTTTCTATGTAGGTATTTTTTTTATTATAAGAAGCTTTATTCAGCATTATACTTTTCGTACAACATAGAATTCTCAGCATAAAGTATTTCAACAAGTTTCTTTTTCTTATATCTTGATCGATTGTGACGATAAATTTCGAATGATGACCAGTTAGATGTTAGGAATTCGATAATCCGCATTTGATTAATGTTTGTTCGTTTCAATGCATATTGCCAGCCACCATGATGTCGCTGATTGTACCTTTCTGTATCCCGTATAGCGAAAGGTTGTAAACTTTTCATAAACGCGCCCGAATAGATTGTGAGCGCAATAGACATATTGATATGCTAAAACGAACAACAAAACAGATAACTTGAAGAAATATATAGATCGAAGGAACAGGTAGCCCAGATATTCAAGCAGGCCGCCGGATCCGGTTAAATTCTATTTTATATAATGTCTTTCATGAATGTTATTAATAACATTTTTTATAAGTTGACATTAATACCAGACGATACAATGGCGCTTCAATCAATGTAATCACTAGATTATTCCTTTTGACAACTATAAAAGTAACTTCAAATTTTATAGTCAAAAATGACATTCTCAAGGTCTTATTTTAAATACTACTATGAAAAATAGGACTAATTTTCAAATCATTTTCCACTTTATTCACGTTTTTTAGGCGCAACATATTAATGAGACAGTTTTTCCGACTCAAAACTGATAATAAAGATGTTCTTATTTGAATATAATGAACCTTAAATAATTTGAATCATTCACATTTAAATAGCAACTAGTGACCATAAATTTAAGGATATTTTTTATTGTTTCACGATGAAATGTAATAGTTTATGTCTTTAATGTTACCAATAAAAAACGTTCTGTTTAAACTAGGCGGTTAATATTTAAAAGTTATATTAGTTTTGTTTCATTTCATGAGATGTAAATTTATCCAAAAAGCATTTCGAATATCTTATAGGGTTGACCATCCTAAGCAACCATACAGATGAGTTTGAGTTAGCGTCAAACAACGAAAAATGAAATTTTATGACCAAATGAAATATTCATAATTCTAGAAGTTCAAACATTATGAGTTTTGGTGCAGCGCATATATTCCATTTAGTTCAAAAAAGAGCGAACAACGACTCTGAGATGCAGGTAAATCCAGCTGATTAGTCTTAAATAAGAGAAAAGGGGAGCCTGAATTCCACTGCTGGCTAGTTTCTATCTATTCAATATAAACTAGTTTTACAATGACTATATCGATGCAATCCCCATAGGATGCTCATATGGCAGTGTTGACTAATCAAGTCTCAATCATTGATATCAGCAACGTGATAATTTAAGCTTATTCAAATGGAAGTGTGATATGCATGTTAATAATAAAAGCAATTAGCCGAATATATTGATTAAATAGCATGTAAAACAAGAGCTCACAAACATCATTATTTTTGGACTGAGAATGTAAGTGTTAAGAGCTTGAATATTAGATGGGAAATTGAATAAGGGGGTACTGAGTGTGAAAATGGGCTGTGTAACATGACAAGATAAATTTTGAAAATGGAATAAAAAGTAAACGGAAAATCCATGGAAAAACAAGTACGTCTGCTAGATTAAGAGATTGATAAATGTAAAAATAGAGTAAGGGTGACTGTTTTGGAAGAATAACAGGTTATTTCCATATCATGAGAACGGGTTGACTAAACGTTTCACTTTATTAGTTCATGTTTCTGTATCGCAAAAGCATTAGGAGGGCAATGAAAGCGCACCATATTCGGTATGTATCCTATAGGTAACTTGGAATGATGAATCTGTTTTGACTAAATGACCATTCTTCATGAGATAATTAAATAATAAGCTTCATATGAATTTGTTGATATATTTTTCAGCCATTCAGAATGTTCTTGAACACTCTTTGTTAGAATGCATATTAAAAGCATTACATACAACTTTCCTCAGAAAAAGGTGATTCGGTAAGATCACAATGAATTATCAGACGTTAAAGCTCTTCGTTTATGTTGTTTGTAAACACTGATCAACTTCAAAACGAAGATGGTTGGAAAGAATTTTTTTGAAGGATTTTTGGCACCTCTTTTTTAAGCATTTGGGGCCGTATGATCTTTGAAATTGACAGCAATGTGCATTGGCATAGAGGCTATTGATTGTTTTAGAGGTTAACTATTATGTTTTTGTAGACAGGTTTTGTCATACATTTATTATCGAGAGATATTTACTGTTAGGAGTATTCATTTCTAATCGATCACATCGAAACTCTTTGCTCGTTAGATCCATGTGAGGAAGGGGAGATACAATCAGTTTCTTTCTTCTTCTAATAGGGAACGTATTTGCAGAATTCGCTATCTGCAAATACTATGGAAAGTTTTCTGTAAATAGTCCTCTTAAAGCAAATATGATTCAAGACATATTTAAAGACCAAAATTAACAAAAGTATCTACCATAAAGAAGATTCAATTCATACGTCATATATTTTACAACGATTATTAGAAAATCCCTAACCATTTGACATCGAATTCGATCATAACCTAACATTTTTATTGTCATTTAATCTGTCGAATTCCATCAGCTTTATATATATATATATATATATATATATATATATATATATATATATATATATATATATATATATATATATATATATATATATATATATAAGTGAAATAAGTTATTACTAAGTGATTAACTAGTATACACAATCTTTTTTTCTCTCTCTCACAAATACTTTATAATGTCACATATTACAAAATCAATTATCAATGACAATTTTATTGAATTATGATAATGATACAAGTCATGTATTAAGTTATATATATATATATATATATATATATATATATATATATATATATATATATATATAATACACTATTATTCACTGATATCATTTTACTAAGCTATTGTATATAAGATTTATTTACTTATTGATTTTCTATGCTGGCATATAATGTACATTTATTTTTGACAATAATTGTCAAGTCTATTTATCAAGTTAAAAAATATAAGTTAAGGTTACTTTTTCTTTCGTTTTTTTTGTTGTTGTTTGTTTTGGTTCCATCATATTAAATCAATATGTCATAGGGTGATAATAAGACAATAGAATCTATACATATGTGTACAGTTAAATACTTATTCTTTAAACAAGATAATTTAACTACTATATAGTCTTTATGCATTATATTCTTGTTCATAGAATAATATGGACAAATGTAATCTATTCT